AAACAAGTTTCAACAAATTAATTTCCAAGGATTTAAGACATAAAGAGTATAAAATATTCTCTGACCACAGTGCAATTAATCTGAAAATCAGTGGAAAAGCAATAATTAGATACTTCTTGTGTTAAGAAAATCATAATGAAACTTAGAATGTATTGAAAACCGGCACAATAACTAAATCCATATCAAAACTTGTGAGATATAGATAAAACAAAAAGGATTTTTAAGCTTCAAATTCATATATTAAAAAGAAAAAACAAAAATTAATGAGCCATCCATCTTAAGAAAGAACAAAGTATTAAAATCAAAAGCAAATATACAATAAAGAAGATCAACAAAGATAAAATTCTTTGAAAAGGATTTTAAAATGATAAACAGAAAACGAAATTTTTAAAATGGGTCATTTATGCAGCATAAATTCCTAGGAGTAAATCTGACACAAAGATGTGCACGATCACTATGAGAACAAATTTCAAGTTGAGAGAAATTAGAGACCTGTGTAAATATAGATATATACTATATCCTTAGATTTTAAGACTGAAATTATAAAGATTTCCATTCTCCCCAAAACTAAAAGTTTTAGTCTTACTACAATCCCAAACAAAATCCCAGTAGATTTGTCAGGGGGAGTTGTGAAATGTGACAAGTCAATTCTATGATTTATATAGAAATGGAAAGAGAGCCAGGAATAAAAGCCAAGATATTCTTTTTTTTTTTTTTTTTTTTTTTTTTTTTTTTTTTTTTTTTTTTTGAGACAGAGTCTCGCTTGTTGCCCAGGCTATAGTGAGTGCCGTGGCGTCAGCCTAGCTCACAGCAACCTCAGACTCCTGGGCTCAAGTAATCCTTCTGCCTCAGCCTCCCGAGTAGCTGGGACTACAGGCATGTGCCACCATGCCGGCTAATTTTTAGATAATATTTAGTGGCCAATTAATTTTCTTTCTATTTATAGTAGAGACGGGGTCTCGCTCTTGCTCAGGCTGGTTTCGAACTCCTGACCTCGAGCAATCCGCCCGCCTCGGCCTCCCAGAGTGCTAGGATTATAGGCGTGAGCCACCGCGCCCGGCCAAAGCCAAGATATTCTTGAAGGAAAACAAATAGGAGAACTTGCTCTTCCAGCTGGGACTACAGGCATGTGCCACCTGTATCACGCCTGTAATCATAGCACTCTGGGAGGCTAAGGAAAGAGGATTGCTTGAGCTGACAATATTTTAAATATTGTCATTAAGAATTAGACCAATGACAGAATTAGGGCAATAGAAATAAGGCAATAGTATTGCCTTAAAAGACAATACTTATAGACAGAACTAGGGCACTGTAGAGCAATGGAAAAAGGCAGTCCTTACAATAAAAGGTACTGAGACAATTGGATAGCTATAGAGGAAAAAAATTGTTTACTACAACTCATACCATAAAATTGTATTCCTTGTATATTAAAGTTTAACTGTAAAAGCCAAGTGTGGTGGCACTTGCCCACAGTCCCAGCTACTCAGGACGCTAAGGGAGGAGGTCACTTGAGGCCAGGAGTTTGAGATTGCAGTGAGCTATGAGCTATGATTGTGCCTGTAAATAGCCACTGTACTCCAGCCTGGGCAACGTAGTGAGACCCTGTCTTAAAAAAAAGAAAAAGTGGCCAGGCGAGGTCACTTAAGCTTATAATCCTAGCACTCTGGGAATCTGAGGCAGGAGGATTGTTGGAGCTCTGGAGTTTGAGGCCAGCCTGAAAAAGAGTGAGACCCTATGTCTACCAAAAATAGAAAAAATTGGCTGGGCGTGGTGGCCCACACCTATAGACCCAGCTACTCAGGAGGCGGAGGCAGGAGGATCGCTTGAGCCCAGGAGTTTGAGGTGGCAGTGAGCTATGATCACGCCACAGCACTCTAACTGGGTGACAGCAAGACTCTGTCTCCAAAAAAAGCTAAGTTTAACTAAGGCTGGGTGCCGTGGTCACGCCTGTAATGGTAGCACTCTGGGAGGCTAAGGAAAGAGGATTGCTTGAGCTCAGGAGTTTGAAACCAGCTGGAGCAAGAGTGAGACCCCATCTCTACTAAAAATAGAAAAAATTAGCCAGGCATTGTAGCCCATCCCTGTAGTCTCAGCTACTTAGGAGGCTGAGGCAGTAGGATTGCTTGAGCCCAGGAGTTTGAGGTGGTTGTGAGCTAGGCTGATGCCACCGCACTCTACAGCAAGAGTCTGTCTCAAAAAAAAAAAAAAAAAAAGCATTCCAAAGAGAAGACAAAAGCAAGACACAGAGTAGAAGATAATTGCAACTTATGTAATGAATAAAGGATTAATACCCAGAAGGTATAAAGAGCTCCTGCAAATAATTTTAAAAGATAGACAACCCAACAAAAGAAAAAGGAGCAAATTACTTGAACAAGCACTTCACAAAAATAGATATACAAATGGCCCATCAACATATGAATTAGTCATTAGGGAAATACAAATTAAAATCAAAATTAGATGCCATTATGCCCACATAATACTAACATGCAACATTCTGACAGTGTTAAATGTTGGAGAGGATATGCAGCATAGGGAATTCTCATTCCCTGCTAAGGAGAATGGAAATTGACCATCTACTTTGGAAAACAGTTTGATTTATTTAGTAAAGTTGAAGATAAGCATATCTTAAACTCAGCAATTTGACAAGGCATTTACCCTAGGAAAACTATTGATGTGGGGAATAGGATAAATGTACAAACATGTTCATAGCAGTGTTACTTGCCATAGTCCCAAACTGAAAACAAGCCAAATAGTCGTCAAAAAAATGAATGAATAACTACATTATGGTATATTCATACAATGAAATACTATACTAATGAAAATGAACATCCAATAGCTGCATACCACTACATACAACTACCTAGCATATTATATATTTGTTTATTTTGTTTACTATTTGTTTTTACTCTAGAATATAAGCTTTATGAAAGTTTAGACTATTTTGTTCACTGCTGTGTCTGCAGCTTCTCTAACTGCATCTGGTACGTAGTAGTTTGTAATAGGCAATAAATAAATTAGTTGAATGCAATATTAATATAGAGAGTCTGCCTATGAAAATTTAAAATCTTTATTTTTTTCTTGCTAGTTTATAGAAGCATAATTGATTTTAATATATTGATTTTGTGTTTATTATTATAGTTGTGTTTTTAGGGATTCTTTAGAATTAAAAATTTAAATTCTTTGGAAAGCCTTCATGAAGTTGAGTTACTAAGGAAAAGTACTGTAAACAGTAAAGGTGTTGAGGAAAACAATGAACATCTGAAGAGATTGTGCCTTCAAATTGTTCCTTACAGGTCTAAGTTTTCATTTTAAGAAATCAAAACTGGAAGTCATAGATATGTTTTTTGTGTGGTTTATGTAGCCTCAAAGCCCAAGGGTCATCTCCTCAAGGAAAGGCCTCATTTGGCTCTGCATCAAAAAATTGACCAGTGGCCGGGCGTGATGTCCACGCCTGTAATACTAGCACTCTGGGAGGCCAAGGCAGGCAGATCATTTGAGCTCAGGAGTTCGAGACCAGCCTGAGCAAGAGCAAGACCAACATTTCTACTAAAAAAATAGAAAGAGATTAGCTGGACAACTAAAAATATATACAAAAAATTAGCCAAGCATGGTGACTGATGCCTGTAGTCCTAGCTACTTGGGAGGCTGAGGAAAAAGGATTGCTTAAGCCCAGGAGTTTGAGGTTACTGTGAACTAGGCTGACGCCATGACACTCTAGCCCAGGCAACAGAGTGAGACTCTATCTAAAAAAAAAAAGAAAAATTGACCAGTGAATACATTCTTGTGTTTTAAGTTAAATGAAATGTTTAACATATGTATATACCTGTACAGCATTTTCAGCAGTTTCCCACTTTGACTTTTTATATTAACTGATCTTCTCAACCAACCATCAGTCCCAATAGCATGAGTTAAGAGGCTTTTCTATCATAGAATTTTGTAGGAACAGGGAGAATAAATTATAGTCTAGAGCAGTGGTTCTCAAACTTTGCTATGCATCACAATCACCTGGGCAGTGGAATGAAAACTTAGACAATTAGGAAGCATTTTGAGATTGGAATTCTTTTAGCTGTTTTTATAACAAGCTCCCCAGGTTTGAGAACCACTGTCCAGAGTACTACTTGTGCAGATATTTGTTGAGACATGTGGTATTCAAAGAGTAAGTATTCAAGATGATCATTTGGATGTAGGAAGAAAACATTGGCCCTCTTATTTATTTTATTGTTTAATTTGTATTTTTGTTTTATTATGTATATGATTTAATAATAGAGTAATACATGTAGTTTACAAATATAAATATATTTTTAGGGATTAGAAGGCAATCAAATAAATTATTTAGGCAGCAGAAACCTCATTTTCTTCAATAATCAAAGCAAAGTATAATGGAGGTTAAATAGAGTCCCAATTTTATTTTCCTATAGCTTAAAAGTTTAAATTTGCTTTTCTGCTATATCTCTAAAGCTAATGATTAAATAAGAATCACGAGACAAATACTGTCCCTGATTAACATATATTAACCTTTCTTCAGGAAAATAGGGTCAATTTTCTCTACTCATATCTCCACTATACTTTTCTAGGAACTAAATAAAATGGAAGAACTCTGTTAATCCTATAAATTAATATATTTACATTTGGCTTGCTTTAAATGTGAAACATTTGTTTTTTAGTTTTAAAAAACAGAAATTTTATTTTTCTCTTAAAATAGTCTACATTTTATTTTAGTAATTTAAATACATTGTTACAACCTTAAGAAGTATAGTTGCATGTAATAATCCCATTTCATTATTTTTTACACAATTGAAATATAACTGCAGTATTTTCCATAATGTGCTATACTAAATTGTAAACAAAATTGGGAATTGTTGATGTTGATTTTCATGCTGATTTTCATAAGTAATATTTTTATATTTAGTATTACTTAGAATAAAATTATAAATAGTGATACAAGTTTCTTATTGTTTCTAATCGTATCATGATTAGTGAGACAGTCATTTGTTTTCTAGATTGATGACATTGTAAAAGCTGTCGGTAACTGCAGCTACAACCAACTAGTGGAGAAGATCATCTCTTGTAAGCAGTCAGACAATAGTGAGCTGGTTAGTGAAGGTGGGTGAGTGCTGCTGTTATCTTACTTTTTTATTCTTGGCAACATAACTTGTCCTATAGTTTAATATCTTTCAATCGTCTTAAGACTTCTAAAAAATACAAGTGATGCTAGTAGGAATTTTAGAAAAGTAATAATTCAAAACGGTGCCAGTGAAAGGTTTTTTTCTAGAACCCTTTTCACTTGACTTGTAAAATCAGACCTGGATTCTACTAAAAATCTTTGGGATCACTCACTAGCTTTGGGTATGGCCAATTACTAAGAGGTTATTGATAATTACTTTTTAAAAAAAGGATTGTTATTTGGGAGTGCTGAATGGACTTTATAATATATCCTGAATTCTTCATTTGACTGGGATGAGTATTATGGTGCTCAAGTGTTCGATTTTAGTAGACTTGTGCCTTATGTTTCAGTACAATGCAATATTTTAAATCCCCATTCTGAATCAGAATATACCCTGAACATCGGTTTTGCTAATCCTTAGCTGACTGAAATTCCTAAATTTGTCACAAAAGTAGTTTAATATTTTTTCAGTTGTATTGCAGTCAATGATGGGAAAAGGAGATTTCAAACCAGAGTGTTATCAGGTGGCAAAGCATTTGGATATACCTTTTTTACTACCCACTTCACTTTTCATAAATACACACAAATACTGAGGCTGCTATTCTCCTTTCTTTGAAGGATAAACAAAAGAAAGAGAAATCATAAGATGCAGAGTATGAATTTTATCACTCTCAGACACAATTTTTTTTTTTTTTTTTTTAAAGACAGAGTCTCACGTTGTTGCCCAGGCTAGAGTTCGGTGGCATCACTCTAGCTGACTGCAACCTCAAACTCCTGGACTCAAGCCATCCTACTGCCTCAGCCTCCCGAGTAGCTAGGACTACAGGCATGCACCACCATGCCCGGCTAATTTTTTCTATATATATTAGTTGGCCAATTAATTTCTTTCTATTTATGGTAGAGATGGGGTCTCGCTCTTGCTCAGGCTGGTTTCGAACTCCTGACCTTGCACGATCCTCCTGCCTTGGCCTCCCAGAGTGCTAGGATTACAGGCGTGAGCCACCGCACCCAGCCTCAGACACAGTTCTTTTACATGAGGTATAATAAAAGCTGATTCCAATTACCACATTTAAAAAAATTAAAACTGGTGACTATAAGAATATATGAGTATATAAAAGATGTGTACATTAATCCCATATATACTTATTAATCAGAACCCAACTAATCATATTACTTAATTATTCTGAAGCTTAATACATATGCAAAAGAGACAAGTAATAAGAAAATACGTAAGTAATTTAGTTGAGGTTTATCCTAGTATTCTACTTGCAGTAAACATGTAAACATACAAAGCCATTGATCATTAGTTTGTATGACAACTCTTTTATTACAACTTAAGGCAGCAAAGTTTAAATTTTAGGAGGAAAAAAGGAGCAACAAGAGGTGTTATAAAAATATTCTCTCTCAGCCGGGCGCGGTGGCTCACGCCTGTAATCCTAGCTCTCTGGGAGGCCGAGGCAGGCGGATTGCTCGAGGTCAGGAGTTCGAAACCAGCCTGAGCAGACGAGAACCCTTCCTTACTTATAAATAGAAAGAAATTAATTGGCCAACTAATATATATATAAAAAATTAGCCGGGCATGGTGGCGCATGTCTGTAGTCCCAGCTACTTGGGAGGCTGAGGCAGAAGGATTGCTTGAGCCAGGAGATTGAGGTTGCTGTGAGCTAGGCTGACGCCATGGCACTCACTCTAGCCTAGGCAACAAAGCGAGACTCTGTCTCAAAAAAAAAAAAAAAAATATTCTCTCTCAAGGCCGGGCGCGGTGGCTCATGCCTGTAATCCTAGCACTCTGGGAGGCCGAGGAGGGTGGATAGCTCAAGGTCAGGAGTTCGAAACCAGCCTGAGCAAGAGCGAGACCCCATCTCTACCATAAATAGAAAGAAATTAATTGGCCAACTAATATATATGAAAAAAATTAGCCGGGCATGGTGGCACATGACTGTAGTCCCAGCTACTCGGGAGGCTGAGTCAGGAGAATTGCTTGAGCCCAGGAGTTTGAGGTTGCTGTGAGCTAGGCTGACGCCATGGCACTCACTCTAGCCTGGGCAACACAGTGAGACTCTGTCTCAAAAAAAAAAAAAATATTCTCTCTCAATTAACGAAATTCCACTCACTGGAACTTTGCATTCCTTATCCAAGCTCTCATTACTATAAATATATTCCTAAAAAGGAGCTTATAAGAATTTATTTTTTTTGTGGAATCTTACTATCTCAGTAATGTTTAATATACTGAGAGTTAATACTATTCTGTAGTAATTGGAAGGAACAATAGGATTCAAAAGTGGCAACAGATGAAATGATAGCCAAGAAATAATATTTGAGTAAGAAGCTATGGGAAACACTGTTAGCACATCTTTCCCAAGCCAAACTACAATGCAACAAGGGTAGGACTTAGTATGCTGATTAACAAAGTGAACAAAACAGTCCATCACTTTTTTTTTCCTTAACCTACAACTATTATTATTTTCTCTGATATTTGTTCCCAGATAATGAAAAACTTAGCTAATTTATGTAGTATTGATAATTTGGAAAGAGCATCATGGTAAAGCGAGGAAAGAATCTCCTCCTAAAGGGTATAGGATTTTTAAGTAATAGATAGGTAATGTATACCAGGCATTCATTTATTCATTCGTTCATTCATTTTGTTTTTGTTTTTTTGAGACTGGGTCTGCTCTCTCTCCTGGCTAGACAGTGCAGTGGCATCATCATAGCTCACTGCAACCTCAAACACCTGGGCTGAAGTGATCATCCTGCCTCAGCCTCCTGAGTAGCTGTGACTACAGGGGCACACTACCATGCCTGGCTAATTTTTCTGTTTTTTTGTAGAGGCAGGGTCCTGCCCTTGCTCAAGCTGGCCTCAAGTGATCCTCCTACCTTGGCCTCCCAAAGTGCTAGGATTATAGGTGTGAGCCACCGCACTCTTTTTGAGGAAAAGAAATATTGTTTAGCAGATAGTCAAATAGAATTAGGTATGCTTTCAACTTCTAGATGACATTCATTTTTCGTTTGATGCTAATACCTTATAAGTAAAAGTACAGAACTTTTACTTGTACATAGAGTACTTATTATTTTTTACCTCTTTTGAGTGTCAATAGCTTTTTGAATCTGATTATAATGATGGGTTGTGGCATGGCAGCAAAGATCAACAAGGAAAAAAATAGCACAGTGCCAGCTGCCAGACTTCACCAGGGATGGTCATTTTATTTCAGATGCTCTCTCAGGAATGTTTCTTTAACAGTTGTTCCAAGGACAAAAATCTGCTTATAAAAATAAGTATGGGGTATTTATTCATTTATTCAAATATTTAATGACCCTTTATTATGTGCCATAAACACTGAACATTATTTGAATTCACATTATTTTTTATTAAATAATATGGTTTCCTTTTCTTTCTGCAACTTCAATTTGGAAAAATCTCAAACCCATCTTAAAAAGTTGGAATAGCACAATGAACATTTTATCTGCTCTTTACTTAAATTTACCAGTTATTAACGTATTGAATGTTTGCTTTTTTTCAGTATTCCTACACATGCTTTTTTTCCTAAGTCACATGAGAATTATTCACATGTATAATAGCACTTTACTCATAACTGCTTTATCATTTGTCTCCTAAAAATGGAGAATTCTCCTATATAATCACAATACAATTATCTGAGGCAATTTAGCATTGATACAGTATTATTCTCTAATATAATGTTAATATTCAGAATTATCCAGTTTCCCAATAATGCCCCTTAATAGCTGTTAAATTTTTTCAAGGTAAGCTCCAATCAAGGATTATTTAATTGCCTTATCTCTTTAATCTCCTGTAATCTAGAATAGATTCCTAACCTTTTTTTCTCTCCTTTCCTTCCTTTTCTTCCTCCCTCCTTCTTTCTCTCCTTCCATTCCTTCCTTTTTGACATTGACTTTTTAAAATAGTCCAGACCAGTTGTTTTATAGAATAATCCTCAATTAGGATTCATCTAATTGTTTCCTTATAAGTAGATTCAGATATATATATATTTTTTATTTTATTATTTTTTTTTTTTTGAGACAGAGTCTTGCTTTGTTGCCCAGGCTACAGTGAGTGCCGTGGCATCAGCCTAGCTCACAGAAACCTCAAACTCCTGGGCTCAAGCAATCCTACTGCCTCAGCCTCCCAAGTAACTGGGACTACACCATGCCCGGCTAATTTTTCTATATATATTAGTTGGCCAATTAATTACTTTCTATTTATAGTAGAGACGGGGTCTCGCTCTTGCTCAGGCTGGTTTCGAACTCCTGACCTCGAGCAATCCGCCTGCCTCAGGCCTGCCATCAGCCTCCAGAGTGTAGGATTACAGGCCGTGAGCCACCGTTGCCCAGCCAGGTTATATATTTGACAGAATATGCCATAGGCAACATTGTATCCCTCAGTGCATCAAATCAGGGGGCACATGAGTCGATTGTCCATTATTGGTGATGTTCACATTTGATAAAGGTGTTATCTGCCAGATATTTTTATTGTAAGATGCCCTTTCCCTTTGTAGTTAATAAATCACCTGTGATGTTGTGCTTTGAAATGTATGACTATTCTCTTTCTTAGTTCCTTAATAATCTTTCACCCAGTAGATTTGGCATCAATTGATTCTTGCCTGAATCAATTATTACTATGGTGGCTATTATATTTCGGTTATTTTTCTGTAAAAAAAAAAAAAAAAGTTCTCTCTTCTCCCCTATTTTAAAAATTGTATCCAAATAATTCATGAATTCTTTTTTATTCAGTGCGATAATTCATTGTCATCATTATTCTTTTTAATGCTTAAATTTTTCCAAATATGGCCAATGGGATGTCCTCAAGCTGAGTCCCATGTTCTTTTGATAGATCCTATCGTCTTTGAGCATTTATTTTTGGCAACAATAAGATGGTCTGGACTCTCTACTACACCCTTAGAATCACATCATATGAGCCTCTATC